CAAGAAGTTACGCTATACGAATCGTCTTAACTGATCCTGAAACTGTATTGTTTACGTAATGCAATATCTGTACTTTTGTAATTATGTTCATGAAAATCAAAGAGATTTCTGCAATGTGTGTGTGTTACACGATTCTGAATTTTAAGTCTTGTTAAATATGCGACTCACAAACAGAAAGACACTGTCCTTAGTAACAAATTTGCACGCCCATCTGTGTCTGTAGGTGACATGCAACTGAGTCTAATGACGGGAAGATTGTTCACAGTTGCAGGTATTTTGAAGCTATATTTGATGATGAGTCAGTGAATTGTGTGGCTTCTTGCGTTTTCTTTTTTTGTGGCAACTTGTACACAAGAACAGGAATTGTAAGGGGGTTTTTATTGACGCATTCAGGGGTTAAATTACAAGTAAAAAGCATTCATTCACAAGACACAAACCCTATTCACAGCTCCGAAAATGTCTATGTGAATTTACACCCCTGTCGGTGCAATTTCATAACATTTTATTTACATCATTGTTCCGAGAATTGTTTTGAAACCGCCGCAAGAAACCAATCAAACCACAGCAGGTTTTGAGGTTCTCACAGTTCTGAGTACGAAGATGCTTGTCTTCTGGGTTGCAGCACCGTTGGTAAACTTCTAACAGACAGCAGAAAACAGCCATCTTCGTACTCACAGCTGTGATAATCTCAAATCCTATAAAGCGTAACAAAACAATATTTGAACATTCAGTCCCTACCATAAACAAATCACAATGTCTCCATTACAAAGATTAATTGGTTATTGCTGTTTAGGGATACAATCACAGTTTACTCTTGGAATAACACGAAACCTGTAAATACACTCTATTTGTAATAAAAAGCAGAGTCACAGAGTGCTAAAGCAGGTGGCACATTTTGTTACCATTAGGCTCTAATGGGATGTATTTCGATGCATCCTCATACATGGCTGACACTATCATAAAACTCGAAAATTCTGGTCACCTATATTTTTCTGTGTTTCAAATAAAGCCAAAGATTTATTCTGACTTAAGGTTGTCTGTCAATTGAATATATCACAATTACATATAATTACAAGTTATGAGTATCCCAAAATCTGAACTATACAAACTTATTAAGATAAAAACAGCCACCGTATAATCTCTTTACACAATCTATGAAGCAGTCTTTGTTTCACCGGTTGTTTCTAGCTGGGTTTCCTAATTTATAAAATATAAACATTTCTGTAAATGTACACACCAACAAATTTACGACTAAACACAAATTGAGTCGCTCAATCTTCAATCATGGTAACAGTCACTTACAATGGTAACTAAGCAAATCCCTAAGAGGCTATGAATTATTCCATAAACTGCAATTAAAATGACAACTAAAGTTAATTAATCCTACCCTACCTTCAACCTTTGTCCGTCGTGCGGTCCAGCCTCACAGTACAGATACAAATCTCCTTTTCTCGTATGACGAAGATTAAAGCACTAAGAGAACGGCTCTAATTTGTTAAAGGCGAGTATTTCGACAAAAGGGCATCTGTATATTTCATACACAATTAGAATCAGACGAATACATTTTACATTATTTATTTTTTTCTTGGATTGGTCCATCATCTGATCGAGGACTGGATCCGTCGTCTTTTAGAATGAGCTAGATTAGCTCATTCTAACGGACCCCACGGGGTAGGTTCCTCCTTCACTAAACTTGAAGACGAGGACAAATCCAGTCCTCATGTTTTTTATAACATGAGATGATGGACAAGGTCCAAACACCCAACAAGTCAAATTGTATTACACGATCATCATCAATCTATTTTTTCCTGTTAACAGATTAATGGTCAGCTTAACTATCACAGCGCAGCATCTTCCTTACGTCATCTGGTATGTAGATGAGCTTCTGAATGCAACTAACCAGTGGCAACTCATTAGCGTCTAGAGCAGTGGTATTCAACCTGGGGTACGCAAAGACATCTTAGGGGGTACGTGAAATTTAAAAAAAATATTATTTTATGATAAACACTGAATAATCAGGGCCAGATTTAGGGTTAGCCAAAGGAGAACCGGACGTAGGGACATTCGATTTGGGAGATTATATACTATGTATAACTTGAATTATACACCAACAACTTTGGGGGTACAAAGTTGAAGAGAAATTATATCTGGGGGTACGAGAACAAAAAAGGTTGAAAACTGCTGCTCTAGAGGGACCAGTGTGAATCCGTGTATAAAAACAGAGAATATTACAAAAGAAAACAGAACATTTCTGTAACTTCTTAGTCTTCAGGCATAATATTTATTTATTTCAGAATTTATCGCACACATTTTGTGTACCGCCAATCCCAACGTCTTGTACTGATGAGATGCCACTGGTGCTTGATATTTAATTTGTTTCAGTTTGCACGATTTGAATCCTTTTCTATAAATTATGTGGTACGCTTACAATCTTACAAATCTAAAAAACTCTTAAAAGTAAGCTGCATTTGGATTTACAGAAACATACACGTGGAATTTTGTTTATACTGTGAATGTCTTTAGCAAGAAGCAAAAATTCCTGCTTCTGTGTTTTAAAAGTAGTACGTGCTGGTAACATCTTATTGTTTCAATATTTTTTTCCTCTCCACGCAAAGAATGTAACTCTGGATTAACAAGCCTTTTGATTCATCGCTCTACCACACAGACCCACTTACACCAGTTAAATGGCAATCCACTGTCTTATTTCATAACATTCCTTCATTCTGACGACTTCATATGGCTGACAGGCTACACTTTCACATTAAACCTTTTTTTGGATTCTTTGTCTGATCATTTTATTCCGTTACTTATTCATTTACCTTTCAACATGATCTTTAAATTCTACTTGTTTCTGCTTCTTATCCTCTCCCTTTTGGTTTTTCTCCTAAACCCCATAAAAATCTACATATACACAATTACAAATAAACATTAATGACAAAGGACATAGAATAAATGACACTATCAACTATCACAGAAACTCTGGTGTTTCAAGCCTTCTTAAAGGATACGATGCACCGTATTTACTCAAAAATAAATTGTCTCTGAATTTGCCATTAAACACGTGCACCGCTTCTAGACTAGTCTTTTTGATGAAAGTTCTCTAGTCACCAAATGGAAATGCCTGAACTATCACCAGCATAATTTTTATTGAAATACAAAATAATTCGCTCAGCTAACCTTAACAAACAAAAAAAAATTTTCTTAAATTTGTTTCCAATATTTTCAGGTGAGAAAAGTCACACATTACAAGGAAGCTCTGCCTCCTATGTCTTTGACATCGCTTGTCATGTTAAATTAGGGGCCAGTTCATATTTAGGCAAATTGGTGACTACAAGAATTCACTGTTCCACGTGAATGAATACTTGGAATGTTAAAGAGCTTCAACACACATCTTGGAGGAAATTAATACCAAAATCTATTATTTTGCTTGATATATATAGTACAGCAATCAGATCTTATCGTGAGTAATGCTTTTAGCCTCGGTTATAAATTTTAACATTTTCAGAGCTACGTGCATATTTGCTTGCAAATATTTTTCTTTCATTGTGTGTCTTTTTCCACACTTGTGATCCTCTCTCATATAACTGGAAATAATTAATACAAAATCAACTACAGGAATGTCAGATGTTCTTGTAACGTAACCTACATGACTCCGAGTACAAGAAATAACACTATTCTGATATCAATTTCATCTGTCGTCACAAAACTATAATGAAATCATATCATTCAAGCACCAGCAAAGAAACATTTCATGTTTATATATAAACTTCAGTACGACTGCTTATGAGCTATACATCCTTTCTGGGGAAAGTATTTTCAAATTTACATAATTACAAATCTTTTAAATCTTTACTTTAAACATGTTTCCTATGCAAAGCATCTGTTCGGAATGCGGTGCTACATTAACAGTTTATGTAATTTAATATTATTCAAAGAACGGACATTCTAACATCCGTGCGCACACATATACATACTACTGTAGTCATATAGTCGAGATTATACTTTGTCCAGGAATCTAATTAATCTTAACAGGTACATTTTAAAAAATACATATCATATAAAACAATTTACACACATTTAGATGGTATATAATTCGTCTCTTGTATGAGATTTCTGTAGGCAATTTAGAATTTACAAAATAATGGCAAAACAGTCTTCTAATATTTTACAACGCAAGGTATAACGGTTTCCTGTCATTATTAAGTAGTGACAGTTGATTGGATTAAGATTCGTGAACTTGCGGACATTCAGTATGTACTATGACAACGTTCGAAGTGCTTTAAAAACTGTGAAGACTAAACTTTAAACAATACAACAGATCAACTGCCTGGTCTTCTGTAGAAAAATGTTTGGCAAATAATATATAACATGTAAGATTTGAGGTTTTCACAGCGGTGAGTATGAAGATTTCTGTCTTCTGGGTTGTTGCGTTGTGTAGTCTGGTCGATGTTTACCAACGTTTCAGAGGTCATACTGTGTTCGTCATCAGGGCGATTCATCGCAGCGCAACAACCCAGAAGACAGAAATCTCCACTCTTCTATCTTCCCACTCTTCTACCTTTCAATTTGCCAGCTCTTCCCTCTATTCTTAATGTCTTCTAGTACATGACTGAATGATCTTGTACTGGGTCATCCCATGGTCTCTTTTCTCTAAATTTTAATTCTAACATCCTCGTCATTTACAGTATCCTTGTTCTTTCCATTCTGTTTACATGGCAAAAATCATTGTAACAATTTATCTTCTATTATGAAAATTTTGAATTCCAACTTCTTCTCTGAACATTTAATTTTTAATTCTATCCCTTCTTGTCCTTCTCTTAATACTTCTAAAACACGTCATATTCACCATTTGGACTTTCTTTTTCTTTTTTACAAAGGTCCATGTTTCACCAATAAATGCTAGAATCTGTTTAAAATACGCTCTACAAGATGTTGTTTTCGGATCCCTCTGTTCCA